ATAAGCCGATACTGCACTGTGTGGTGTAAGATGAACGCTAGTCCGCCACCATTATCTCGCTCGCGATCTTTACGGAGCACATTGTAGGCGGCGCAACCCAATAGGGTGGAGTTGCTGTGCAACTTCGTTACTTGGACCGCAGCTATCAATATGCCATGCCTACCCATAAAGACTACTATCTCCTCAATCTTGCTCTGGAGTCCGTTGCAGTTGAGTTGTAGGAGTTTCGTATGCCTTGGGAGGCTGGTCGCGATACGGGGGGTGAGGGAGGAGTGAGGTCTACCTTGGGCCTGTTGCATCTGACGCGCTTGGTGTTGCTGCCTGTTGGTAGGTGGCTGCAATGGGGGCGCTGTTGTCTGCGTCAGTGGCGCTCTGCAGCATGGGGCGCTGTAGTTTGCTGCTGCCCAGAGGAGCTTCTCGGTGCCGTTTGGCTTGAGCAGCAGGGAGCCACATAGCTTGTGGTTCACTCCCGGTGAGACCTAAGACCAGAGCAGGTTCTTAGGTGACTCCATCCGTTGCATGAGTTGCACCTAACCGAAGTGGAGTTTGGATGGAGTCGATTCTGGCAAACACAGCAGAAATACGTTTCTGGTCCGGGGTTGGGCTCTACGCCCGCCCGGAGAAGAAGGATGCGGAGCAATCCGNGCAGCAGAAATACGTTTCTGGTCCGGGATTGGGCTCTACGCCCGCCCGGAGAAGAAGGATGCGGAGCAATGCGGCTGCAAGGAGTTGCTCCATGGACGAGCAATGATTGAGGGGTATCGCCGATCTAAGCGGGGCTAGGTCGTTGAAACAACAGCCCTTGGTCGGGTAAAACCAGGAGTCATTCCGGTACGTAGAACCCGCTGTTTTGGGAATGGGATTTCATGTGTCTCCATACCAAGTTCCAGAACTCTACCATGAACATTTCTAGAGATATGGAGTATGAAAAAAACGGTTTGTATGGACGCCCCTTTTATATATCGAGATTTTTGTTAGCCGATTACCGTCCTTTGAACATCTCCAGCAGATGTCCGAAATTAAAAAAAAATCGGTTCAGCCGTCCTCGGTCTTTGCTATATATGTACATTAGATGCCTTATTTTCTCCATACATTTTGCTAAAGTATTTCAGATCCTCCCTCCGGCAGCAGAATATAAAACTAGGACGCTAAAGACTTAACAAAATGGAAAAAAAATTTCATTATTGCAAAAACTGAATGAGCTACTCCGAAAACCGCGATTTATAAGACTGTTTTGCTATAACTTTAGATCCTTATATGAAAACACATTTATCTTACACAAGAAAAAAAAATATATATATCCAATATTATGAAGAAGAAGCCNGTACAACAATGTCTAAGAGTAGGGGAAATGTTGATTTAAATTTTGATTCTCTAAGTTCTCTTCGTTTACCATTGTTGTCAAATTTGTTTTTTTTAATGTTAAGGTATTCAGTGTAGAACTTGGCAACGTCATGCTTCACTGCTGTCTTTAACTTAGTGACGACGCCTAAACACGACCAAATGTTTACCAATTCACCGACGACGCGAAAAATACTTTCATTCACTGTTAAATTGTCTTCTAAACGAAGGTTAATTAGCCGACGCAGAACGTGCTCCCGAGTAGGCAACGTTGATTTCGAGAAATTGCGCAGTGTTTTCTCTGTAGTTAAAATTAAGTGCACTTTTCTTTATATGTATTCAATTAATGGTACTTACCAATTAGGAAGTAACTACTAGTCTTTGTCNGTTGAAACTTACCAATTAGGAAGTAACTACTAGTCTTTGTCGTTTTCTCCATTATCGCTTGCATCAATATTGTCTATTTTTTTGATTATGTAAGATAATAATGTTATTATCAGTCGTAAATATAGATTACAGTATTCTACAGTACGACAGTTTTATCCACTCCTGCTTTGGCTTTTAAATTTTTGACGATGTTTGTCAAGTTTGAAAGTGGTTTTCAAGATGGCTTCACTTAAGCCTAATTTACCAGTTCAAATATAATTCGATCGAAAATCTGTTCACTTTTTTAAAAACTACATTAAATTAGCTACAATTTTATATATTTTAGTTTTGGAAAAATTACTACTATCTGGAAAATCCTAACGAATAAATTCGAAAATTCGTGAAAAATAGTACCAAATTGTCACTTTCGGCCGTGTGGGTAACTTTTTGGTTAGTTGTATTAAAAAACTGAGTACGCCATTCGCTTTAGCGGCTTCTTCTTCATGAGATTGGATATTTTTTTTTTCTTTCTTGTGTAAGATAAATGTCTTTTCATATTAGGATCTAAAGTTATAGCAAAACAGTCTTATAAATCGCGGTTTTCGGAGTAGCTCATTCAGTTTTTGCAATAATGAAATTTTTTTTCCATTTTGTTAGGTCTTTAGCGTCCTATTTTCATATTCTGCTGCCGGAGAGAGGATCTGAAATACTTTAGCAAAATAAGTCATCTAATATACATATGTAACTTAATTTCAGCGCCACCTGGCGGCCAATTTTTTTCCAAAGAATCCTTTTTTCCTGTTATCAATACATATTTTGAATCTGAGGATAATCGGACCATAAACGCGATTTTTAGAGATAAATCGACTCCAACGCCACCTGGCGGCTCTTTTTTTGCAATGGTATTGTATTTCCTATTGTCAATGCACATCTCGAATATGAAACGAATCGGACCATAAACACGATTTTTAGTAATAACTCGACTCCAACGCCACCTGGCGGCTCTTTTTTTGCAATGGTATTGTATTTCCTATTGTCAATGCACATCTCGAATATGAAACGAATCGGACCATAAACACGATTTTTAGTAATAACTCGACTCCAACGCCACCTGGCGGCTCTTTTTTTGCAATGCTATTGTCTTTCCTATTGTAAATACATATCTCAAGTATAATAATAATAATCCCAACGGTTTTTACCCTGCATTCCCGCTCATCCGCACAAGGGGCGCAGTCCGCATGATGTACGGAACCAGTATTTTCAATTTTTGCGCCGAGTCACGATAGGCAGGAGGTTGTTAAGTGTCGAGCTCTAAAACTGTTCAGCTACAGAACTAAATTCAGCAGCCGATTTTATGTCTTTATTTTAATGATTAATTTATTGAGAGCGAACAATATCGATTTCTTAATGTTGAAAAGCGGATCTGATATATCAAACGTGCTGGAATGAGAGTTAAAATCCTGGCATAAGCAACGGAGTGGGTCGTGCAATTCAAAATTAGTTTTACAAGCTTTCAGAAATAGGGGGAAAAAGTGTCTTGATACCCGGGAGGGAACATTAAGGCTAACTTCGCCAAGAAGAAGCGGACTTGAAATTGAGCCTGTTAGTAATTTAAGTATAAAAATTGTACCAAGCATTTGCCTGCGGCTGGAAAGTGTAGGAAGATTAATAAGTTTTATACAGCTCAAATAAGGTGGAAGGTTATATTCAGAATCCCAACGGAAATTTCTTAAAGCAAAAAGTAGGAAATGTTTTTGAATTGAATCTATCTTGTCTGAGTAAATTTGATACCTTGGACTCCAAACCACCGAACCGTATTCCAGAATTGGCCTAACTAATGTTGTAAACAGGGTTTTAGTGATATAAGGGTCACAAAATTCTTTTGACCATCGTTTCACAAATGCAAGTACACCTTTAGCCTTGTTGACTGTCACATTAATATGAAGATTAAAATTAAGCTTAGGATCCATTGTGATACCAAGGTCCACAAAATTGTATACCTGTTCCAGGTTATGGTTACCTATTGTATAAGAGCGGGATGAACAGCTCTTCGCGAGAAGCACATTACTTTACATTTCTTAATATTTAGAGGCATAAGATTTACTTGACACCAGTAAGCCATGCTGTTTAAGTCTAATTGTAACAAAGACCTTTCTTTAATTGAAACGTACGATTTATAAAGCTTTACATCATCTGCATCCATTAAAATTTTGGAAAATTGTATATCTGTAGAAATATCGTTTATAAAAAGCAAGAACAGAATCGGGCCTAGGTGGCTACCTTGAGGGACTCCTGAAGTAACATCAATGACGTCAGAGATAGTATTTTTAAACATTACCCTTTGTGATCTATCATAGAGGTATGAAGAGATCCAACGAAGAAAATTAGGTGGAAGACCAAGAAGATCAAGTTTATAGAAGAGCAATGAGTGGCACACTTTGTCAAATGTTTTACTGGAGTCAATATACATAACATCAACAATTTGCTTTCACTAAATGCTTTTCAGATATAGGATGTTAATTAAAGTAAATTTGTAGAAGTTGATTTGCCCTTGCAAAATCCATGTTGACTATATGAAATGCTAGAAGAGATAGAATGCGTCAACTGATTTGTTATAATTGCTTCAAATAATTTAGGAATTGCAGAAAGCTTAGCTATTCCCCGGTAGTTCTCCACTGAAGATCTGCTACCGCTTTTATGTAACGGGGTTATGAACGATTCCTTCCATATAGTNGAATACAAGTAGGGGTCTGCTCAGGACCATAACTGAAGGAATGCGTTAAGGATTTCAGATAAACTAATACATCATCGGGAGATATTACTGGACATTTATTGAGGTCATTAGTTTAAAAGGATAGTCAATGTTAGCATGTGAGTTAATGGAATAATTGGATTTAAAAAACTGAGCAAACATGTCAGAAATTGATGTATTATGGAACGAATTTCCGTCATCCCTTGTCAAATTTGGTTTGGAGACATAAATTTGACAAGGGATGACGGAAATTCGTTCCATAATACATCACACACCCACCCTGTCGGTAACAACAACAACCAAAAAGGAAATGTCAGAAATTGTTTAATTATCACTAGAGACGGTATTTTGATACTTCATGGCGGAAGGAAACCCATGTACATTTCGCTTGGAGTTTACGAAGTATGAGGCGAATCGGACCACAAATTTCGGGTTTTATTAATAACTTGACTCCAGCGCCACCTAGCAGTTGTTTTAATAGTTATTCTGCTATTCGGAAGGTAGACAAATTAAAAAAAAAAAATATCATAAAAATCGTTCCAGCCGTTCTTGAGTTATAATTGGTGTAACTAACACTAACTAATTTATATATGTATATATATTTAAAAGTGAAATAGTTTACTTACTTTACTTTAACAACCTCCAAGCGCATTCGAACCTGAGATCTCAGAACCAGAACCGGTAGTCTTCACTCGACGCCACAGCCGACATTTGTGATGAAAGCAATTAACCGAATTTTAAACCACGTAGTTATGGCTGTTGAATTAGTTACCCCAATAACCCACTTGATTTAGCGTAGTTTCGCCATATAAAAATGACAGTACTTAACCATTTCACTGAGATGGTTAAAAGTTAACCAACTCGAAACCACGTCGAAAATCTGATACAACCCTGTATTTTTCCGCCATCTGTGGGTCATTAGCGTTAAAATGTAAAAAAATTCGTTCCCTACTAGTGTTTGGATTTCACTAAGATCAGATTAGATTTGCTCCGGTTTTTGAAAAAATTTGAAGTCTACTCCGCTACTCCGCTCGACTTCAAATCTACTCCTTTTTTTCATTCATGTTATGCCTTCTTGGGGCCGTTTTTTGAGTGTTCACCACCGGTTTCAGTAAAAAAAATTGATAGTTAGCCAAATCTCACTTTTAAAAATTAATTTTTCCATAGCAAAGCGTGAATAAAGTAACTTCGTTACTTTTTGATGTATGGCTGTAGAAATTGGTGAATGTACAACTTTACAGAAGTTGTTAAAAAATATATGTAGAATGGAATTTATATAAAGTAGAAGAGGTTTATTGCTCTTTAAAAAATTTAGCGTTAAATATGTTCTACTTTATAGAAAATGCTAAAAATTACCTCGCGTTCTTATTGTTGCATGAATAGAAAATATTTAAGTTAAACAATTAATGTCATAAACGAAAATAAAAAATAAAAAAACAATCTAGTACAGAAAATTTGTTTTTGCTCCGATTTTTGCAGCGATTTAGTCCTGAATCGAGTTGGAGGTACGAACACTGTTCTCTACATTTGTTCTGTTTTATAAACCTCAAACCGAAGTGTGGACAACAGTAGTAAGTGATGTGGTTAAGTTCGATTTGAGATGGTTAACTTTTTGGTGGGGACATGGTATTAGTTTTGTTTGTGGCTATTCAAAGACAGATGTCGCTGATCGCATAAGTTTTCCGAAATCGCCGAAATGGTAGGTAGTCGCTTTAGCACATACTAGGTAATGAACTAATATTTATACTGGCTGGTTTGGCATTTCACTGGTATAATTATAGTCCATGACGAACTGGTATGACTTGCAATTAAATACCAATTTTTGAACTAGATTTCTACCAACTAGTTTACTTTTTTCTATGAGAAACTGGTATAATTATGGTTCATAACAAACTGGTATGATTTTTATCCTTAAATAATAGTTCATGAACTGGAATTTGTACATACTGATTCAGATTTTCACTGCAGGGTACATAAACGCTGCATCAAAATATTGTTATTTGTGATAAGAAAAACACGCATTTATTGTTTTTTTCGAAAAAAGTTTTTATTTTTAGAGGTGGCGCTGGTCGGTTTTTTATAAAAACGATGATGTTCTAATTTTTTTATTTTCGTTAGATTTTAAAATGCAGCTAATAATGTGGTTTTTACATTTAAATACTCTGATATTATTGGTGAACATTCTCTCAATTGCATACCTGTCTTATAAAATTAGAATGGGCCTATTGACCGAAAATGTGCTTTCGAAAAGAGTTCTTTTGAATTTTGAAAGTCTGACATCAGATTCGTAATCAGGAAGCCCAGAAACCCACTGGTAACGAGTTTCAACCCTTGATAATGCCTAAAATGTTCAGGATCAACGTTTAAGTTTTAGTAATTTTGTAAGAGTTTGATCGCTATTTTGGATCCGCCATTTTGAATTTTAAAAAATTTACTTCAGATTCGTAATCAGCGACCCCAAAAACCTCCAGAGTGCCGGGCTTCGAACAAATCGAATAATTTTTTAAAAAATTTATCGCCATTTTGAATCTGCCATTTTGAATTTTGAAAAATTGACTTCAGGTTCCTAATGAGCAACCCCACAAACCTCCCTGGTAACAAATTCCAACCCGTGATAATGCGAAAGTCGTTCATTATCAACGTTCTAATTTTAGAACTCTACCATGAACATTTCTAGAGATATGGAGTACGAAAAATTCGGAGTAATAAGGCATTCGATTTTTTGAATTTTGAGTTGTGTCCATATATGTAATACTTCTATATTGGCAGTAAGCTAACTTCTCAATGTGTAAGCATTCCGAAATCAAAGCGAGACAGTTTAGTACCGTTTTTGTCAATGTATTGTGTACTTGAGTGCCGTTTTTATACCTTTCATGAGCATGAAATGGTATTATAACTTTGGTCCGATGTTTGTAAGTACCAGAACAAAAAGAGATAGACCCATTAAAATGTATACTTATATGATCAGAACGTCGAGCTG